AGGGGAAGGGGGCGGCGGGGAGCGGTGTTTGTCCCAGAGGAGCCCCGCACGCCTCGGGGAGCCCGCTGGTGCCTGCGGGTGCTCGGGAGCGGGGCCATGTTCTCCTGGGAGAACCATCGTTTCACCCAGTTTGTGCCCCGCGCGTACACTAAAGCGAGGACCCCCGACCAAAATGTGCTTTTGTTTTGTTTTTTTTTTTTCCCTCTCCCGCCCCCGACTTTTAATGTGGGTTTTAAAGGGATTAAATCTGATGCAGTTAAGGATCCAGGAATAGCATCGTCCGCGTTTCCGAGCCTGTGCACAGTGCTGGGGACGGCTTTTGCCTGTGTGCTTGCAGGTGTGGAGGTGCTGCCCCTTCTCCAGGAAAGCCCCTCGGTGCTGCCGAGAGGAACCGCAGCCGGGTCTGGGCAGTCATAGCTCGGATTTAAATTGCTATGCAGTGCCCGAACAGGGAGGAATTAGCTTGCGTTATTTGCAGGGAAGTATGAACCTGAGTAATTTGCAACTGTGGAAGACAGCAAGTCTGAGCTTATTCTTCATTCACTGGCAAACTTGTTTGTGTTTCTGTGATAATGTACCTGGAGAATATTGCACATCCAACAAAGTGCTTGTTCATGTCGCCAAATAAAGCTCTAGCCATTTTTTTGTGGTTTAATTTAACTTGTGCCAAAAATATTTTGTTATTGTTGGATGAAGGCTCCAATCTGACAATCTCAGCCTTCCAAAAATCATTTTATTCTTCCTGAATTTAATTTTTTATATTTTAAGTGCTACTCTGTTTATTTTAAGAGTTAGTCAGTCTCATTCTGTCATTGCTTTTCATATAGTTTCACTGGTTTCCCATTTCTCACTCGTTTTCTGGATGGGATGAAGTCTGTGAACGCCAGTATGGAAGCACCATACCCTTCCATTCTTTTTTAATACAGGACAAAAAGTTAGACTTACTGCTTTAAATAATGATTGAGTTAAATTTATTCCTAATTGAATAGTCATCAAAAATCATATTGGGATGAGTAATGTCCTTATAAAAAGGGTTAATCTACATTAGAATTAGAAATTAGAGGTTGAATGTGGAGGGTCTGTGCAGTTTGCAACTGTTATTCCGCTCAGAAAATGAATATTTGGAGTGAAAGTGTAGTGAGCATTAGGCAGCATCATTAATCTTTGCAGATGTAATACCATTATTAGCATCCCTCTTACCTCTGGGGTACATAGTTATCTTCAATTTCCAGACACAAGTTTTATCTTATATCAGATTCTGGCTCTGCAGTGTAGCTGTTGAGCAGCACTGTGCTGTTTATTAGGTGCCAGCCTGCCTTAAATCTCTGGTAAATGTATGAGGGAGAGATACCTCCTGGCTCTGAGCGAGAAATGAGAGCGAGCATCTTATTACTTGAGATATTTTTTTCCCTCTGGACGAACAATTTTAAGGATTCAGGGAGGCAGACAGTTGTGTGTGTTCCATTTGCCTAAAGAATCATTATGCAGCTGTGGTGAAATTACTCTTGATGATTATATTTTCTTCTACTTTATTCTTTGCAATCCAGACATTGTTAATCTAGACTGGGAATTTTATAGCTGGATAAGAGCTTGAAGGCCTATTAGTATGTGGATATGGTCAGCTCTGTTGTCCTAGAGCCAAACTGAAGAGAGGAAAGAAGGTTCTCTTCAGAATATCACTTTTTTTTTCTTTTTTTCCCTTTTTTCCCCCTTCTGTTGGATCAGGTCTCGAAGCATAGGGCGAAGGTTTCTCTTCACAGTGCATGGACGGAAAGCCAATGCGCAGGTAAGATATGAAAAAACAATCGTCCTTCTCTTACTCAGATCTGATAAATCATGTGAGTCGGTTTCATAAGGGCCTAGACCATAAAATGTTTGGAGTTTTTTGTTTGTTTGTTTGTTTTTCTTTGGTTTTATTTGTGAGGGGTTTTTTGTGGGTTGTTTTTTTTTGGGAAGGGGTGTGTTTTATTTTTTTTTAGACCTGGCTAGGAGAATTAGAATATAAAGCATTCATCTTTAGTCTTTATAGTTCTTACTTAAATGTATTTAGTTTTTGATATTTACAAGACTAAATGCTTGTTATATGAATATGCTGCTAGGAACAGTACAGAAGACAAGTTATCATAATTCTCCATCCCCCCTCCTCACTTCCTCCATTTACTATCGTATTTAAAATCCAGTATTTCATTACTTAGGTATTCAAATTGTGTGAAAACTACCTGGGAATAAATTTAAACTTGATTTCTAAGGGGCATTATTTTTCCCTTAACTAAAGGAGTTCAGTATCTTTAATGGGTTGAGGTCTTGGGTGAAAAGGAGATTTCCTTATCTAATTATGGATGCCAGCTGCCTTAGTTCTAATGAGCTGAAGATGCAGCTGAAGTTTAATTCAGGGGAGTTCTTGCTGTGGTCATGTCAGAAACATTATCTGTTATATAGAGAAAAATTGTCACAGTAAATCAGCACAATGACAGATTGGCAAACAGGGTTGTCTGTTTTAGTTGCTTTTCATTAGCCAGTGGCAATCCCATGGCAAAACTTAACAGCAGATACATTTCTATATATGATACAGGCTGTGTGGAGGCAAAGTCTCCTAAAGTTCTACACCTCTAGAAGAAGTAAAGAGAATTAATGCTAATTGCTTAGTCTGCCTGCACTCTTTAGGATGCTGAAAGCAGGGAAACTTTATTACGGATAATTCTGTAAACAGTCATGTAAGAGAAGGCAAGAAATTTTAACCATAAATGAATATGTAGGGCATTTCTAGCTACAGCATTTGCAGAAACCATTAGCCTAGGTTCTGTGTAAAGAGGTAAGAAATAAATAGTCATTTAAACCCTTGGAGAGTGACACTATGTTGTTTAATTAAATGAACCCCTCAAGCGCAACAAAGACAGACTGTGCTGCTGCTTCAGTTAAGCTAATGAGTAAACCTTGGGACATGATACAGGCATCACTGGGGCTATGTATTGTTCAATATTTTTACCAAGATAATAAATGTGGTTTAGACAATGGGGAGCTGTATGTGACTTTTACAGTGAGTTCGTTTTTCTCCAAGATGGATTAAGTAGCAGGCGAGCTGTCTTCCATCTTAGTCTTCTGCAGTGGAGACTGTTTAAATCTTAACCAACGTAAAACCACAGCTTTTCAGGTTCTTATGTTGTACTCCATTTATCAAAATGTTTTTGCAAAATGACATAAAGTTGGTGACTAGCTTGGCTTGTGTTCTTGTTTTCTCTCTAATGGAAAAATTGAGGTTCTAAATTTAATTTTATGTCTGCTGTTTTCTGCGTGTCGGATCGAGGCAGAGAATTAAAGTGCTGAAGTTCCTATGTCTTTTGTGGGTTTGTGGCCTTGGACTTGCTATGATGGAAGTTCTGTGTGCCACTCACACTGGGTAGTTTTAGTGCTGGGCTGAAGAAGTAGAGGGTTTCTATTGTGCTGCTGATCCTGGCACTTCAGCCTTTTTTTTTAAATTTTATTTGGATAATGGATGCAGACCAGACCTTTCAGTACCTTTTGTTTTCTCTCCCTCTTTGGCAAGCCACAGTAGAGTGTGAATAACACATTTGACATATTTACATGGCTTTACTTCTGAAGTAACCTTTCAGCTGATCTCTGCACCTGGATGTGTTGTATTGTTGCCGTCTAGCCTGACAAGCACGGTTCTATCGTGAGCTGCAGACTTTGGTTCTTGAATATGCTTGTGTGTTTTAAAGGCTTCTGTGTGGATTGTTAAAATTTCTGTTTTGTTATTCTACTGCATGTCTTAGCAGAAAATGATAAAAGGTTCCTGGTTGGATTTCAGGTTCACAGATCTTCCTGTGAAGTTAAGCTAAGCAGATGGCAGAGCACTCCCTTTTATCCTTTTGCTCAGGGCTGTTGCAGCCATTTAACACCAGATGTGAGAGTCCTGCTAGATACTGCAAGAAAAAGGGAGTGAGACTTGGTCAGTACTATGTTAGTAAACACGGTGAGTTGGTATCAAATGTGTACAGCACTCAGGGGATGGGAAAGTACAATTTGAACAGAAAAGGAATTGCAGCTATTCCTGTCGAGATTATAATAGAGGAAATGTGTTGATGTTCAAACAGGATTTATCTTGCGTTAGAAATGAAGAGATAGTTGGGGCAGGCTCTTCTTTCTCGCTCTCAGGGAGCAGCAGGAGAACATTGTTTTGCTGAAGGTAAAAGCAAGGCAGAGGGGACCTCTCGAGTGGAGGGCATAGCCTCATAGTACCTGAGCTAGGAGGGCAGAGCAGATCTGATGACCAGGGTCAGTCAGGAGTCTGGTACTCATCAGGCAAGTCTGTAGTGATGGGGAAGAGTTGAGGTCAAGCCAGGAAGCCAGCTCAGCAGGTCAGTGTCAGTGGGGTACATGGTCAGGTGCAGATGTGCCTTTAACATAGCTGAGGCCAGGCACGAGGGCTTGAGCAGCTCCCAAGCAAAGTGGGGAGGCCCACCCAGCTCTTTCTCACCCTGGCAGCCTGATCCCAGGTCCCAGCAGTGCTGTATCAGAGCTGCCTCGAGCACAGGCAGCCAGACCCCGCTGAGGGGGAGAGGCTGCAGATCCTGACGGTGCTCTTGGGGCCCTCCTGTGCACTCAGGAAGGTAACCAGTTGCTTGGACACAGCTCTTAACCAAGACCAACTGCAAAATGCTTAGGAAGGTTTTGGAAGATTCCAGTAATGTCCTCATCTTTCAGAGTGTGGATTTCCTTATTCTTGGTGAAACTGAGTTTTCTGGGCTTGGTCAATGAAAATTAAACTAAACAATGTAAATAGGAGCCTTGCTCTTCTCCTTCTGAGTAATGTAAAATAATACTGCAGTTGGGTTTATCTGCTTGTTTGCATAACTCAGCCTCATTAAGAATGTGTACCCAAAGCTTGCTGGCTAGGCAAGAAAAGGAATCAATGGTATTTTTACTAATAATGAGACTTTTAGCTAAGTAATTCCTAGAGTATTGATTGTCACATTTACTCAGGGCAGTGTTGTTGTGGTCACTTCTGTTGCTGAAGGTATCACCTTTGGCTGGGCCAAATCAAAGGTCTTTGTTCTAGCAGTTGTGTAACGAGTTTAGGAAATACTTTCTTTGTGTATGAGCTAAATTCAGAGCAAGGCAGTGACAGAAATCACTACTGGTTTGGTTTATCTTCATTTGCTACTGAAATCCGGTAGAGCAATGTATGATTTTTTGGAATTTAGTCCATGTTTTCAGCCTGAGACTTGTTCTGTGTCACAGGCCTTGGGCCAGCCTATTGTTTTCTGCTGAACTGTGTTACTTGCTTGTAATCTCAGGCTAAAACATGCATTGTCTTAAATAAAAAAAATACAGGCCAGTCTGACTTGAAAGTTAAGCAGCTGTCTCCAGTATCAGGTGAATATTTCTTAGATATGTGCTATTAGATATTTTTTTGAACTTTGGAAGAAGTTGCTATAAGCTCTAAGGATGGATGTCTCATAGGTGCCTGTGTTAATGAATAAAGTTTTGGGAACTGGCATAGCTGAATAACATGGAGGCAGAGCAGCCTATTTATTTAGCTGACTGCCTGTGTTCCCATTTGTACTTTTCAGCAGCGTGCTGCAAAAACAGATCCTTTGTCAGCCCTTTCTTAATCCCATTGTATTTGCTGATTTCCCCAGCCCTGCATTTTGATCAAAGCTAATCCCAGAATATCTGCGTAGCTGAGAGTGAATCTTTTATCCTTGCATACACATTTCCTCTCTGATCCTCAACCCTTCTTAATCACCTCGAGTATTCAGGAGCAGCTCTTAGCTCTGCGAGTGTGCGGGGGGGAGGCAGCTAGCCTGCCATGTGAGAATCAAGTGCTGCCTTCTGTCTTTCACACCTCTGTGACACTGACTCATCATTTCATTCTCTATGCATATATATCCATAATGCACACATAATGCAGTTAAATTATTATCCTCGTGGAGACACATGCCATCAGACGGTGTCCTTTTAATTCACACTTCTGTGCCTGTGGATAGCAGCAACCCACAGTGGTTTAACATCAAGCATCTGGTTTGATCTAGTATGGAAATTCCCCAGCCCATTGATCACTAGCTTGTGCATTACCCAGAGATAAGTTATGGATGAATCAGGACTGCTAATTTGATTATTACTCTTTTTTTCCATCCATTCAATTTTCTTTACTCATTAACCAGCACTTTCTCTCCTGGAGGAAGGAGGCCGGATACAACACAGACACTCAGATAAATGCTGATGGGAACAATGAAGGAATGCCTCAAGTTCTTACTAACCAGACTCCTTGTCAGTTAGTTAATTAAAAGATGTGTTCTGCAGAGTCTCATTTGGGCAGAAGGAAACCTGTTTTATCCTGGCTAGGAAGGACTACAACTGCTGTTTAAATCTGGACGACTAATCACGTGGCATAAGACAGTCCACTCCATTGCTCTGTGTCAGCAAAGAGCGTTAGGTGGTGGGATTGACAAGGTAACACTGTATTCTTTGTGGCCTCAATCTAATCTTTTTGGTTTTAGAATCTGTGCCAGTCTAAAAAGCTCTGAGATCTGCTTTAGTGCTGGTTTTAGTGGTGGTTGTCTTTGAGGAAAGCCTGCAGGTGTAACAGGGGTTTTGCTCTCCAAAAGGAGGTCCTGTTCTGGATGTAGGCCAGCTCTTCTGAGCTGTAGTTATGTGAAATGGGTTTTTTATTTGAAGAATGCTTGTTTTGTGCTTAGATGCTTTGACTGACAGCCTGGTCAAGACAAGCTGTCCAAAATTATTAGTAGCATATGTCTTAATAGGACTTTTAATTTTTTCTTTTTTACCCTAGGGGTTGGTTTAACATAGCTTGAAGCCCCTAACTCAGTAAAACCCATTTGGCTTGCTTAGCAAGAGCTCGACTTTACAGGGGGATTTTTGTCACCACCTTTTTCCATCTCTTGGTAGAGGAATTACATTACTCACCCTCTGACCTTAGCTGCTAAGGGCTACGAAAGTAAGGCAATTAGGTAAATTAATCTTTGGGATATTTGTAGGGGTACCATTAAAATTAGTTTGCATATGCTGCTGCGAGGAGAGCTTAGCTGCATCGTTTGTGAGGAACTTGGCAGAGCTTTGCAAACGGTTCTCAAACTGCACAAGGTGAATTTGGGTTGTGAGGGACAAGAGTGGGTGGAGGAGAGCGAGAAGCAGTAAAACAGCAGAAGGACTTGTCAGAGGTGTCAGAAGAGGAGAACAGTGATGGATATAAAAAAGATGGAGCAGGGATAAAAAAACTCGAGGCGTTGAAGGTGCAGAGGCTGAACAGGAGCAAGCAGCAAAACCCAGAGGGGAGACCCAGCTGGATCTGTGTGACTAAGATATGAAGAAGAGGTAATGGTCTGAAACATCTGAGTATGATGATCAAGGAGAGAGTGTGGGGGGAATGGGAAAACAGACTAAGATGCAAGTGAATAATTCTGCTGCAAAGAGACTGGTTTCCCTGTGGTTAGAAAGTGCATTTGACATAATAATGAGAGGAAAAGATGCGAGTTGTTTTTTTTTTATTATTCTTTCCTTCAAACATGCTGAAAAATATATTGAGCAATGGCAAAGCAAAGTTAGATTTCTTTTTAACTCTTACCATGAACAAAGTGAGGTAGTGAGAGCTCAGAAATGCCATTGTACCAGAGAAGCTGGTAATGGACAAGATGTACTGGATCTTTCAGTACATAGAATGGTTTGGATTGGAAGGGACCTTAAAGCTCATCCAGTTCCAACCCCCCTGCCATCAGCAGGGACACCTTCCACTAGACCAGGTTGCTCAAAGCCTCATCCAGCCTGGCCTTGAACACTTCCAGGGAGGGGGCATCTACAACTTCCTTGGGCAACCTGTTCCAGTGTCTCACCACCCTCACAGTGAAGAACTTCTTCCAACAGCCAGTGCACTCGCTGCATAATTCATAACCATCAGTATTCTTTAATTGCTCTAAGTGATGGTTTTAACTTGAAGCAGGAAGAGGCAATAGTTTCCTATATTTTGTTTATTTTCATAGTAATTGATACGTCACTGGTGCTGATGCATCTTTTTAATAATGGTGCATATGATATGTGGCAGAAATCCAGATGTGCTCGAAACACGCAAAATGGAATCTCAGTGATATGTGCACTGATCTGCTTGTTTAGTCTGGTTGCTGAAAATAGTGTTGGGTTTAATTCTTCTTGTTTAGCACTGTTTTCAGTCATAATGTGCTAGCGAAGCCTGGGGTGTAGGCAGACATCTCTGCAAAGTGAGGTATGAGATGTGTCATCTTGGTTCATCCCTGCAGAAGGGCCCAGGGCAATGCTGCATTCCCGTTCTCTCGAGTTAGCAGCATGCATGGTGCAGAGCACGATCTGTCAGCATTGTCGTGCTCCCATGCAGAGGGGTATTGCACTTCAGCTGTGGCAGAGCTGACATCTGCTCAGGCATGTGAGGGATGAAGGAAGGGTACCTGAATTTTCATAAAGAAGGACATCAGATAGCTGGCACATTGCACACAGAGCTGTGAAGATAGTCTGTTTTTCCTATTCTGTGCCAGAGACTTGGTTTATATTTTCTCAAGTAGTTCTTAATCTCTAAAGTTACAATCTTGACTTTATTTTCTTTCTTTTTTGGTAGGCCAATAGTCATGGATACTTTGATTATTTTGACTTTTTCCTGATTGATCTGATAATCCCAGTTGCCTTCTGCAGTTTCTTGTGCCATTCTTGTGACAGGTTAACCTTCTTTTGAAACATGTCGGGGAAGGTGGATTGAGTCAGAAGCCTCCATAATTCAAAAATACCTGAAGAGGTGATGATTAAATGGATATTCTGTGAATGTGAAAGGTACTTGTGGTAGGCTGCAGGCCATTTTGAGTTACTGAAGTCTGTGTGACAGTTCCGTGTGTTCAGATATCACAGTGATGAGTGACCCTATCAAAAATGTAGGCAGAAGAACAGAGGAGTTTGGTTAAATCATGCAGCTGGAATTCTTTGCAGTGGAAGTCCTGCTCTGTCAAAGAAAACTCGAGTGACAATGGGCAAGTCAGCTAATCTTCTCTGCTTTGAGTCACTCTCTGTGAAATGGGGATAATACTTCTCTACCACACAAGGCTATTATGAAGTTCAGTTAATAAATATGTATGTGTAGTTGGATCTCACAGCGGTGTGTCATAGAAAGCATATAAAAATAGCTATAAATATAAGCCTGTTGCAAGCTGGCATTTGTTTACTTCTAGGTGTGCTTTGGTTTGAGACAGATTCCTCTTTCACGTGATCACACACTTGTTTCCACGTTCCGGCGCGGAGCCATGGGCGCTGCTGGTTTTGCACTCGTACTGGCTGCGAGCCGTAGTGCTTGGGCTGAAGGTGGTGGATTAGTTGATGATGGTCCTGTCTTATGTCTTCCTCCACTGCAGGTGTACCAGTACTCGACCAGGAGAGACCGGAATGGATGTGACTAGCCGTTGCACGCTCGGAGATCCTAACAAACTGCCGGAAGGGGTGCCGCAGCCTGCTCGCATGCCCTACATCTCTGACAAGCACCCTCGACAAACTTTGGAAGTCATCAATCTTCTCCGGAAGCACCGGGAGTTGTGCGATGTGGTGTTAGTAGTCGGTGCTAAGAAGATTTACGCCCACAGGGTGATTTTGTCAGCCTGCAGCCCTTACTTCCGAGCCATGTTCACTGGGGAGCTGGCAGAGAGTCGGCAGACAGAAGTCGTGATCAGAGACATCGATGAAAGAGCCATGGAACTGCTGATTGACTTTGCGTACACCTCTCAGATCACTGTGGAAGAAGGAAATGTCCAGACCTTGTTGCCAGCTGCTTGTCTTCTCCAGCTGGCTGAGATCCAGGAGGCCTGCTGTGAGTTCCTTAAGAGACAGTTGGACCCCTCCAATTGCCTGGGCATCCGAGCTTTTGCTGACACTCACTCGTGCCGTGAACTGCTGAGGATTGCTGACAAGTTCACACAGCATAACTTCCAGGAGGTAAGAAGCTAGTGTGCTGGAATCATGGTGTAAAATGTGTGAACGTGTCCTCTGAGAGCCTGAGCAACTCTCATTTTGCGCTTCTTTCCAAACCTTGCCTTTAAATCTGCTACACTGTGCCCTAATAGAGATGGGTGCCAGGTGCTAGTTGGGAAAGAAAGAGGGATGAGGTGCTTGCAGGACTACATTGCACTGCAGCATTTCTTCTCTTAGAGTTGTGTGGTGAGTACTACGTAGAAGGAAGGGTTGCAGACATAGTTGGAGTTTGGTATTAGATCTGACATGGCTGCATGATGGTATGACATTCCACTCCCTTTCAGAAATCTTCTGGATTTTATAGGATTGGAGAGGAGACAGGTGTTAAAGTAAAGACAATACATCATTAGAACAAAAAAGAGTCGGTGTTGAGTTTAGAGTTTGGAAATGTGGGTGTATAGGAGAGGATACAGCTGCCTCAGTGGAGTCTTCAACTCCCTTGTTGTAGCAGAACTTGGGTTTTGCATCTGTTACTCAGCAGAAGCTGTTTGAAAGTAAATCAAATGTATAATTTTGTAGCTGACCTTTATAAACCTTTTCCTTTGTTAATTCTGCCTAGATTATTTTTGGTGAAAAAAAAATTGACAGCAACTGGTTCAGGGAAGGATCAGCATGATAATTGAGGATTCTGTGAGCAGTAGTCAGAGCAGAGCAGGGTCTTTACTTAACTGTTACACCCAGATGCAGAAAGGAGCCCAGCACTTTTAAGTGGTGCCTTTCCTGAGCCCTTGCTAGAAGGGCAAGAATTTGTGTACGCTTTGGAAGCAGTTTCTCTTTAGGAGTATGCTCAGCATGAAAATCTGTTCCCCTGCTAGAGAGATTAATCTCTTGGTTTTTCCAGAAACTGCACTCTTCCATCTCTTGGAACAGGTAGCCAGCTGCAGAGAGATCTCCTCTTTCCACCTGCTTCACAGGTAGAACCTTTCCAAAGGGAGTAACTCCAGTATTGACTCCTGATGCTAATTTAGTTTCCCCAGAGAAGCAGCAGTATGTAAGTGCTGTGATTGATTGCAGCTTGCCAACTTTTTTTTTTCCCCTGCAGGAAATAGATTGGAATTGTATTAATTTCAGTCAGGTAGTACTTAAGAAAATTAGGAGCAGAAGCAGACACAGTTGAATTCGACTGTTAGAGACACTGAAGACAATACTTGGTATCTAACTGTAGACACGTGACATCAGCTTACTCTAGAAGTTGCAATTAAATACATCTTTCCTAACCATAAAGACTAGAAAATAGAATTTGCTGTTTAAGATGAGAGCTTGTTTTTTGTAGAACTTGGTGATTTCTCAAAAGCCCTGCATTTTAGCTGGCCGTTTCGTGTGCTCTTTGCTTGCTCGGCATTTCTTTTCTTATGCATTATTTTTGGGAGCAGGATGGTAACCAGATGGTCGTCTATTTTCAGTGTTTGGTCGTTTTAATGGTTAGATCTGTGCTCTTCTCATTATTACATGAGTGGGGCATGCTTACAAGCCTCTAAATAACTTCAACAGCATAACAATTTTGTTTTAAAATGTTTTAGCATTAATATGTGCATCTGGCTGTTAAGAGCTGCCTGCTATGGAGTTCTTTTATTTTGCAGTCCCTCGAAGGCAGCTTTTTGTTTTCCTTATCACTGTTAAAACACACCAAGGCAAAAGTTTTGGGCTCTAGAAAACCCTCTCCGCCTCAAAGATGGTGCAAATTAATTGATTTAATTGAATCATGGCCTCTGGAAAACAATTGCATAGATAAGAGCACTATTTCTTTGGCCTGGGCTGATTTTGGTGTCCCTTTTAGTTCCCTGGGAGTTTTGCAGCTCTTCATCCTTAATGATCACTTCTTTTACTTCCACTGTTTCTCTGCAGACAATCTTAGTGGTGTTGCTTGTTGGAATTTTATTCTGTTCTGCTGTTGTTTTCCATCTGGAGAGTGGATTGATAATCCCTGATGGAAGCCAGTGACTCTGCTACTTAATCATCCTCCACTGTCGAGGTTGAGAACCGTTAAAAAATGTGCCCTCCTCTGCAGAGGCTGTATGGTCATTGTTCCTCTGAGCTGGCAAAAAGAAATGTGAGATGAGAATTTCCTGAATGGCAATGTAAAATATTAAGTGCTAGGCATTGAGCCAACCCATGCAGGCACTTTGAATGCACTCTGAATTGCTTCATGTCCTCTGCTGTGCTAACCTCTAGTTCTATTAATTTTTATGTGTATTCCTGCATTACATCATTAACTTCTTGGTAAAATGTTTTTCTAAGTTTTTCATTTCCCTCGATTTAATTTGTTGCCTAAAACCCCTAGTGAATCTTGTGCACATAATGTGAAATGGTTCCATTAACAACTCTGCTGTGCAAGAATGGCCTTCATATTTTTTTGTTTGGTCTCTGACGTCTCTGTGAAGGGAAAAAATATACTTAAGGATGAACAACTTGTGCTTTGTATCAGCAGACAGAAACTGCACTCCATATTGCATACCCTGACATTTATTCTGTCTGTAAATGCAGTAATGCACAGGAACACTCTAGAGGGAATGAAGCCCTCTTCTTGTTTAGTAAGTGATTCAGTCAAATAGATGATTAATGTTAGTCAGATAATTATTAGTATCTTGATAATTAAGCAAAAATAACCCAAAGGATATTAAAGAATTATTTGTTTTACTATGTAAACTAACAAGTTGCATGCTAATAGTAACTTGGTTTGCTGTCAATGCAGCTGGGTTTTCTGAGGGTGGAAGGGAGAGTCTGGGTGATCATCCTTAACTCAAAAAATTTTCAGAGCCTCTGTTTTCAGTCTGAGGCACTTACAAACTGTCAAGGTAAAGTTTAGACATAAGCTAGTCTATGTAGAAAGGAGGGAGACTGAAAAAAAATGCTGATAAAGATCTTTAATGATCAACCCAGTTCTTTTTCTAAGGCTGAAGTGTGTGGGCTAACCTTGCTGTGGCTCTTACTGCCCCTGAAAGCCCACGGGATGCTAGACCAAAGTCTGATAACTGATCTCACTGTCTGTTGTGTTCCTTTTAACTATATTTGCTGTTATCAGTACTTGCCAATTTCTGTATATTCATTCAGTGCTCTTAATTAATTTCTTTAGGTAGTTGAAAGGACTGCACAACTGACTGCTCTTAGGATGATTGTGTGAAATAATGTATTTTTCTTTAATTTATGCTGCAAATCATAAAATAAGTCCTGGAATTCTAATATGGTTGCAAATTGCAAGGACAAGACAATTTTCTCTCACTGAACCTCTCAGATTACAGGCTACAGACTGGGAGTGCTTGTAGGGAAGCTGAGCTGGCAGTTATCAATCAAACCATTTCTGCAGTTCTGCTTATTTTAATTCTTGCATCTTTCCCATCTACCTGGTACCAGCACAGAAGACGTGGTTGCACGTGAGCTCTGTAACCTCTCAGGCTGACTCAGGTGCTCTGTGAGAGGCTAAAACCTCCTGAGAAAATCGGTCACTATCTTGGGTACAGAAGGAATGAACATGTTTGGAGATTGTCAGTGGCTTGACTTTCACAAGAGCTCAGTCCTTTGGGCCTTAGGAGGCTCTGAGTCCCTAAGTGCATTTGGACTTGTGCATACTCTAGCTGTATATTTAGAGCAAATGAAAGAGGATCAAGTAAGTCACAGAATCACAGGGGTTGGAAGGGACCTCTGGAGATCATCTAGTCCAACCCCTGTGCCAAAGCAGGTTCACCCAGAGCAGGTTACACAGGACTGCATCCAAGCGGGTTTTGAATAGCAATCACCATCTCCTGAAATATCTTCTGTTCTGCCACAAATCAGCTTTCTGGAAGAAAGCTGATTTGCCATGTTCTCTACAATGCCTCTGATAACCTGTTTCCAAGACTTCTGTTTTTGTGCTCTGTTTTGGATTTCTTGTCAATAGAGTCTCTCTGTTCTGATACCGCTTTTCACGTAACGTATTTATCACCTATGCAACATTTTTATTTCTGCTTTATATATAAGACATGGCAAACAAGGAGACTGATTTTAAAGAAGTCCTTTGTTTTTCCTTAAATTTCGAAACCTGATCAGTGTATTCTGTGATGTGTGTCCCTTTAAAAGTGTCCTACAAAAAAACTTTGTGTAAAATTCCCTTTCACTTGCATCCCTGCTTAAAGGTGTGCGTGTTGTGTTGCTAGGGACTGCATTCTGCTCTGTACAGCAAACCCTTTGCGTGTGTTGGTGTCAAAACAGTGATGAGTATTTGCCACTTTACTGGATTAGTCCGTTAAACTCTAATTCAAGTGGGCTGTATCCACTTTAGAGTTGTACTGAAGTGCTGGAGTGGTGAATGGCCCTGGTGCTTTGGCCGCTGTCCTGACTTTCATTTCTTTTTTTCTCCTTTCCATTTAACCAGGTAATGGAGAGTGAGGAGTTCATGCTGCTTCCTGCCAATCAGCTCATAGACATTATATCCAGTGACGAGTTAAACGTTCGCAGCGAAGAGCAGGTGTTCAACGCGGTGATGGCCTGGGTGAAATACAGCATTCAGGAAAGAAGACCCCAGCTGCCACAGGTAATCTCGAGCACAGTAACATTCGAGACCACTTTATCCAGGGGAAGAATAATGAGGGTTGATACGGCGGTGCCACAGCAGTGTTGCAGTTCTGAATTGCATGCAAAGCTACAGTAATTCTCTCTGACTTCCACCTGTGTTAGGTGGCTTGCACTTTCCCTTCATCTAGGCTGGAAGGTGTGGTGGCTAAAGACTTCAACGGGGGCTTTGTTAAATTTTTTCCAGGTGGGACTTGCCAAACTAGATCATTCCAGTGGTCTGTCCAGACGAACCTGCCTGCATTGCTTTGAGTGTTGTATAAAAAAAACAGAGTGGATAAGAGAAGCCTTGTCTTCATTTGAGCTGTATCTTTAAGCTCTGCCGTTTGATTTATGCCTCAGCCCTCACGATCTTACACTGGAGCTTGTCAGAATGGTTTTCTTGAAATATGATGCTTCATCTAAGCCAAGCCATTTCACAGAGAAGCACACGTTCTGACAAAGCTGTCAGCCAGAAAGCCTCTGAAGTCTCAGGCTTTCTGATCAAAAGAGTCTGCCTGCCTCAGTGTTTCTGCTTTGGAAATAGACATTAGATGCAACTTTATTTAGTGGAAAGCTTTTGAAAATCATTTGAAATAAACAAACCAGAAAAACCTGCTGTTCTCAAGGTAGTTCTTAATGCTTTTGTAACTGTGTGCCTGTTTAGGCCCCTCTGTCTATATCTGTTTGTGTCTCTAAATTCTATATCATTATGAAAGGCATGTTATTTGTTATTGTTCATTTATTGCACCATACCAGTCACATTTAAGACAGCTACATGGTTGATAAAACTTTAACTAAACTAGTGTTTCAGGCAGATGTATTGACATCTGTATTTTTGTAAAGATGTTTAATTGTGACCTTGTTTTCAGCTGTTAATAGATCCAATGGATTGTCCCCTTTCAAGGACTGATTTTCTGCTGGGTATCTGAACTGGTATTACTGAAAAGGCAAATGTGCTGTAAGATGAGCTGCATTTAACTAAAATGCAGGGTTTGGGTGTGTAAATGACCATGCATGCTTGCCAGAGGAATATTAGCTCTTTATCAAAATTTGTTAGCCACTATTGTTTTCCATTTGGCTTCTTGCATCTCAATGGGTATAACATATATGGTTTTACATATATGGTTTAACATATATGTTCTGTTTTGTGTTTTAGGTCCTGCAGCATGTCCGTCTACCACTGCTGAGTCCCAAGTTTCTTGTTGGTACAGTGGGCTCTGATCCGCTTATTAAGAGCGATGAGGAATGCAAAAAAAAGTAAATCTCCTCACTGATTTACAGAATTGGATTTTGTTGTATTTGGTGCCTTATTTGCATCTCCTCACTAAAACTCTGCTGATTTGTCAGTGGTAAATGAGTGATATCTCACAATTTCCTCTTTTGCAACTAGGAGGAGAAGAGATGCAAGAAAAAGTGTTCACTATTTGTATAATAGACAGTGTTGTGCCCTAGAAGTAGTTTTATTCTTTCAAGTTTTCAGTGAAATAGTAAACTTTGAGTACACAGTTTGACTGTTGGTAAAATACCCTTCATAGTATTGTTTTACATTTCACTTTTTTGTTTCTCTAGTGTCCTGGTTTTTAGTTGGAACAGAGCTGGGTTTCTTTTGGCTTTTCATTACAGCTTACTTAATGACTTGCATGGGATTCACGTGCTCATTAGGACTTAAAGTAGTTCTTCTATGTAAAAAGTCTGCACTTTGATAACTGATTGGGACTCTGCTATTTCCCACAATGCTAGTGCAGGCAAACTGTCATTTTCTCCTCTTAAGAATATAAGTCTCACCTTTCTAGTTCTGCAGAGTTCTGTATCATCTATAAAGCAGGCAATTTTTCTTGTGCTTGATATAAAAAAGCTCAGGGGATAGATTAAACTCTTCTCTTCCTGAATAAGCATTCATTTGTAGAGGGAAGGAGGACTTTTTTTTTTTTCTTTTTTGTTTTGTTCAAGGGTTTGGAATATTAGGATTAGTCCAGGTGGCAAGTCATGAATGGATGGACAGTGTGAGCTGGCCAGAGCTGATGGAGAAAATATTCATCAGAAGGGTACTATCTCCATCTATTGGTCGTGTGTGTGTATTATGTATTTGTGTGCTTTTCACCTCCTGTTTTGTTCCTAGGCAAAACAACTGATAGTTAAGTTTTAACTCGAGGTAGTCTGGCTTTTTCTTTTCTGCATAGTAAACCTGACAAATCTCTTGTCACAGTTTTCAGTCTTTATAGCAAGCGATATCTATTATTAACTCCGGGCAAATATTGATACTGGTCTGCTGCTGTCACTGTGTAAATGACTTGTAAACAGCTGATGAGTATTTAGTGGTAGTGTATATTTTAACTAGAGCTATTCATGCACTTAAGTGATTTGTGAATACCTGAAGTGTGTGACTAGTGCTGGCTGCTCTTGCCATTGGTTTTGATTCATACCTTTTCCCAAGACTGGTATCAGGTGAACTTCTGGCATTAACATTTTTCTGTCTTGCACAGGGATCTAGTGGATGAAGCTAAAAATTATCTGCTGTTGCCCCAAGAGCGGCCACTGATGCAAGGACCAAGAACTAGACCACGCAAACCCATCCGCTGTGGAGAAGTGCTCTTTGCAGGTATGTGTAGCTCCTGCTGCCTTAGGTCAGGAGATTCAAGTCTGGGTTTTCTGGTGATAGTGCTTCTGTAAGCCTCGTCTTTACAACATATTTCTGAAGTGACCTGTGCATTAATAGCTGGAGATTTGAGTTAACTTACACTTTCTTACTTAGGTGATTTCTTCGGTGCTATGAATGCCACAGTACTTCCAAACTTACACTAATCCTCTTGAAAATCACATTTTGTCTTCTAATTATAATCCTAAAAATGAGTAACTCTGAGATGGGGCTACTGGATTAAGGCAGACAAAGTCTGGAGGGATTATTTGTACCAGACAGGCATACAGTATGTGAGCTCAGTGTGTTATTGTGATGCTATTTTTTATGTTTGGTTCCTGCAGTGGGGGGCTGGTGTAGTGGGGACGCAATTTCCAGTGTCGAGCGCTATGACCCTCAAACCAATGAGTGGCGGATGGTGGCTTCCATGAGCAAAAGACGCTGTGGTGTTGGAGTCAGTGTTCTGGATGACCTTCTCTATGCTGTAGGAGGCCACGATGGTTCCTCTTACCTTAACAGTGTAGAAAGGTAGGTCTCTCTAAGGCCAACGTGGAAAATGTTAACTGTGAATGTTTAAACCTGGGTGCAGCCTCTTAAAAATGAGTTCATTTCGCCAACTATGTTCTTGTTCTGCTGAAAACCTGAAATTTATATTAAATGTTGTCTACATTTCCTCCTCCCTTGCATACCCCTTTAATATTGTGTTGGTTTACTGCTGAACTAGGATTTCGTGCATAACAGCTTGTGTCATGTTACCCCAGCTTAATGAGACAAGATGGAGCCTTTAGTATAGGGAAGGCATACATTAAGAGATGGGTCTGGGTATAATTGGTGGGAGTAGTGATGATCCTGGTTAACCTTCTTTGCAATTGCTGGTTTGCCTTTAGCATTGTTGAGGAAGGTGAGGTTACAGTGAGCATTTCTTAGATGTTAAGGGAAAGATTCTGGAATTTTGTTGTGGAATGGTAACTAGAGAGTTAAGGAACCTTGCAAACACACAGAAGAAGGAAAATAGGTCAGTTTTAGACCTGTGAAAGACAAGTCAAACAAGCTTTACTAAGCTTTCTGTTTCTGGGAGCTGCATATGGCAGTCCCCATGCCTAAAAGGCACGTGACTCAAACACTTCTAGTACTCTCAATCTCAGCCCTGTAACAAATCCAATGAGCTATACAAATATCTCCTTTCTCCTTGAGCTTCCACTTCTTCCCACGTATCTCCTTGCATACTGACAATTTCCCAAACCATGACCCTTGCCTTCCATCTCCCATGTCCTGCACTTTTCTACTATGCACCATATTTCCTTGTCTCTGGATTCCCAAGTCCACCTGGTTCCTTCATCTTTCATTTCAAAGTGCAGGTCCCAGTGCTGTCTGAGTTCTTGTGTGAACTGCAGAGAATATACAGCAGAGGAGCTCTGGCTGCTGCTTTTTACATAGGTTCAAGTTGCCACATGTCAGTCAGGCCCTGGTAACCTGCTGCCTTATGAACTGAAACCTTTGATCTTCAGTTTGAATCATCTCAAACTGCAGTTTGAACACCCCTGGAATAACATATATTGAATGCATTACATCACTTCAGGGGTTTTATCCAACTTACAAATAGCTGTATTGCAGTTTAAGCTCAAGATAGGCAAGTTTCACTGCTGTAGTAGTTCCCAAGCATGAGAGAGTCTGAAGCATAACTATACCAACTTGTGCTGTTTGGTGTCTTTTTCTAGGTATGATCCAAAGACCAATCAGTGGAGCAGTGATGTGGCCCCCACCAGCACCTGCAGGACCAGTGTTGGAGTAGCAGTTCTTGGGGGCTACCTCTATGCTGTGGGTGGCCAGGATGGTGTCTCTTGTCTCAACATTGTGGAAAGGTACTTTTCAATTAAAAAAAAAAATAAAATCAAAAAGTAGCACACACAGGAAGAAGAGGGTCTCTTAGAAGGTGCAGGTGATGCAGGTGAGCTGGAGAGGAGGTATGTACTGTACAGATCTTAAAAGGATTTTTGTTTGGAGAGAAGAAGGTCAATCTTCCTGCCCCTTTGTGAAGATGTCAACACTTCACTAACTTTCCATGTTTATTCTTTTCCCAGGTATGACCCCAAAGAAAACAAATGGACTCGAGTGGCTTCCATGAGCACCAGGCGCCTGGGAGTTGCAGTGGCTGTGCTAGGGGGCTTCCTCTATGCTGTGGGAGGCTCTGATGGGACTTCTCCTCTCAATACAGGTATGTCTTTTGCTGTCCCTCATTACAGTCAACACTTGTCATGGATCTCTTTGTCCTTGGTGTCCCTAGATGGCTTTTGAATAAATTAATAATCAGTTTGCTGTGTCTTTTTCTCCTTTAAATGTGATTTTTACCTTGCAGTAATTCACTCTCTAGGCTATTGAGCCCCTGTTACCTGGTTGTGTGTGGCTTTTTTTCTTCCTCGATGCTGCACTTGGCAATGTATCCTGAATAAACTACTTTGATCACTTGCATAAGAGTTGCAAGCACATCTTTTTTTCCTGCAGTAGCTCTTTTCTGCTGTAGGAAGGAAGGTTCCAAAGGTAAAACTACTGCAAGATGGTAATGCAGGTCAGTGTAGCATTGCCAGCTCACTTCTGAATGAAGATGCTGAATGTGATTGACTGTGTAGGACTGGAGGCAGAAGTGTTCTACAGAAGGAAAGCCTTAGAGAGATAACAAACCAGTTCATTGTATTTTTGGAGTGAGTAAATTGTAGCATCTTTACAGATTGAGCAATACACTGGATGCAGGTTTGAAAGTGCTAAACTCCACTGCCTGCCAACCCTGTTGTCTGAAGATGCATCATTTTCTCTGCAGTGGAACGCTACAATCCTCAGGAGAACCGCTGGCACACAATTGCACCCATGGGGACGAGGAGGAAGCACCTGGGCTGTGCAGTGTACCAAGACATGATATATGCTGTGGGAGGCAGAGATGATACGACAGAGCTCAGTAGTGCTGAGAGATACAACCCTCGAACCAACCAGTGGTCTCCTGTTGTGGCCATGACATCCCGCCGGAGCGGAGTGAGTTTGCCTTGGTTTGCTTGTCTACACTGTACAAAATCAGGTGGTGAGAGCACAAGGTAGTGTTGTCTTCTCTTGCTTCCTCTGTACCTTCACCTCTCCTCTTCTGTGAGGGGAAAGGCTTGCAAAAAGTCAAACCTCTTTAGCAAGACTAGAGAACGAAGTGGTGGTTGTGTCATGCTGCAGATGGCTGTTTAACATTCCTGAGAATGGGGAAATGGAGTAATTTGAAGGTCTCCTCTAATAGTTTTGGTCCCTTGTATGGAGTCAACTATTTAGGCCTGAAGCAGAGGAGTTCTTTAGTTTTTTTACTCAGTAAAGTAGCCGTACTTCCTATGAGATAATATTAGAGAAGGCCATCAAAATTAGTACCTGGGTCTCATCCTGCAATGCACTTTGCATGAATTAGGTGAACATGGAAGAAAGAGTTGGGAAACTGGGCAAGGATTTAGTATTTAGATACAAACTTCCAGCTGAGTTTTTGTTTTTTTTCCTTGCCTTCAGATGTGTGTGGGAACAGGGTTTCTGGGCTTTCATTTAGTATGTTGCCTCTCTTCATTGAATCCTGTGAGTATGAGGAGTGACAGCGTGTTCTCATCAACTGCTTATCTTCCTGCTTTCTGTAGACATGTGAACAAAAGATTAACGTGGTGTTTTAAGCAGTCATTGTGTTTGGGCAGATGCAAATGTTACCAATATTTTATCATTGGATACTGGATTGTATAGTAAAGTGTGGATTCATTCTGTCTGTATGTTAGTATTTCAGTGTCTGGTGAGGCAAGTATGAATCAGAATTTGAGCAACTACTGCTTTTGGAGGCAGAGAATATGTATTTATTTCCATCCTCAAAGCATATACACACTCTCCAGCACTGTCCTTTTTAGTTACTGATTAGGCATTGACTTTTAATGAACTGCTTCTGTATTTGCTTTCTGTAGAAACTGCTAAACAGGTTCATCCATATCTGCAGCGCTCCTGAGTTTTCTGACTTGCTCAAAGCCAAAAGAAGGACCATTTTATATTGTGTTCTTGTCTTTTTTCTGTTGTGCCGTGGGTTGATTTCACTGGAAGTCATCTTCCTAAACCACAGAACTGTTTAAGATTGCACTGATTTTTGTGCTTCAGCAGAAAGACAAAATAGAAAGGCTGGAGGCCAAGGTGCTTACAGATGGTCCAAGCCCCAGCCTAAGAGGAGTGGGCCAGGGGCTTACATATGGTTCTCCCAGTTTAAGCAAGTGTTCCAGGCTGTAGGCTGGTAGATATTCTGGTGCATGCATGTCAGACTCGGTGGAGAATTTCAGTCTAGGACATAATACGTTTTGGCTGATAAAGACTTAGGTTCTCATGTATCTATTATCATTCAAGCAGTTCTGGTTCTTTTAGCTGGCAATAAGGGGAACCTTCTGCTTCTTCTTTGAGAGTGTCTATTTTGAGATATATATATATATATATATATTTAACTTTTCATGTCTCATTATTTTTTAGGCTATTTTATTTGTCCTCCCTACTCTGAAAAAAACCCCTCTACTGCAACCTGCCTTTCACCAAACATGGTTATTAAATCCTTTTATTAATATTTTAATTTTAACCCTTCTTTGCAGGACCTGTCTTTTCAGAACATCCCAGCTAAATAGCTGCTATCTGTGATGGTTGTTTTGCAGGTTGGCCTCGCAGTGGTGAATGGACAGCTGATGGCAGTGGGGGGTTTTGATGGCACAACGTACTTGAAAACCATTGAGGTGTTTGATCCAGATGCTAACACATGGAGGTAACTTCAGTTTGTGAAACAGTCAAATGGTGATCCCCAGTTTAGCTGCTGTCACCTAGTTGGAGCTGTCCCAGCCAAATTAGAAATATGAAGTACACTGTAGTGAAGAACTTGGGTGTGGTAGCCAGCATCACCTTCACATTGCAGCTTGTAGGCTGGCATGAAAGCGTAAGAAAGGGAATCACATTTTGAAAAGTATCCCAATATGCCATTTACCTGTGGCATCCCTGTGTCTGTGGCAGCTGAGAAACACTTTCTTGCACATTTCTGCTTGAATTACAGCCATCGACTCCATTTTCAGTAAAAGGAGAGGGAGTTTTCCATCATTTTCCCATCCGAGTATCCCAACAGATTTAACCAACACTTAATGAATAAAGTCTCATTGCACCTTTTGCAGGTAGGAGAGTGGTGTATAGATAGATTATTGAGACCCAGAGAAAATACCTGATTTAGCAGGTTTATTGTGTAGCAAGCAAAAGGTCATATCACAACCTAGTTTGATTATTTTTTTAAGTGCTGTTTTGAACATAACAAAAATTGGAACACACTGAGAGAGATATACCCCTTCTGTTTATTTTGGGCTGAGTCTCTTCTGCTTCCCGATAAAACTAAGCTTGCCCTTAGCAGAAGGAGCTCACAGTCATGATGTAGAATTTGGCCTACTCACTTTTTGTTTTCAAGCTGAGGCTCTGATTTCCAAATCCTTTTGGAGGAGCTGAAACAGAACACTTTGAGCATTCTTTCCCTTTAAAATCTGCAAAACAGCGATTAGAAGAATTTAATCTGATTTACAGGCTGAGAGAAATAATACGAAATTGCCAATGAAAAATATGTACTGAGCAGAAAGGCTGGTTTTCCTCTTTCTTTTCTAGTCATAACTACACTTGAAAGCAGTCGCCTGTGTATTTATTCCCAAATCTAATTGGTATAAAATTTCAAGCTCCTGTCTGTATTCTTGCTGCTTTAGTGTTCTGACAGGGATGGGGAATAGAAAGAAATTAATGTCCTTATTTCTCCCAGACTAGTAATACTAGCAGATTAACCCTTTCCTGAGGAGATCAGCCGTGATAAGTAGCAGTGGAGGAACTTCCCCTTGTTTGTTGAGTTATGGACAATGCCTTTTGAACTGCTGAGGAAACCAGTTGAGTGAAGAGTAGTATGTGTTTCATATTCTTTAGCTGAATGGTTTCAGCTCCTTCTGGTGGCAGTAATAATAAGATGTCTAGAGTTAGGAGTTACTGCCTGGGTAGCATTCACAGAAATTTAGGAGGTTGTTCAAGGTATTAGCTCATGGGTTTTTCTCCCACTGTGTTCAATATAGCTGTTCAACATCTGTGGTCTTCTCTTTCTTTTCTTTGCTGAGCTTCTTGCTCTGTGAAGGATATTTTTTATTTGTGTAGCCTGACCAAGAAATGCTTCTGACACAATTGGAGTTTAACCAATTGCATTTGGTAGCAATTGTTTGAAGAACTTGCTTCTCCTGTTTCTGCCAGCAGATTTCAGTGGCACAGAGGGGAATGTGCAGCCGAAGTGAGTAGGATGCTGGTGTCTATAGGGATTGGATTTCCATATGAAATGCAGGCACCATTTTCAGTACCATACTTTGGAGAAACAGATGGTGCTTGAGATGTTACATCTTGGTTGGCTCAGCTGAATTTAGGGTATTAGAAATATAAAAGAAATTAGTTGAATTCTAAGTAGGAAATTTATCCTTGCTCTTGCATTACCCAAAATATAGCCCAAGGTCAGCTACAGCCCGTAAAGTTATTTTTTTATCTTGCACATTACCAGGCAGGGAGAAAGCAAGTGATTAATTGAGTAAGAAAAGTGTGGTGTCAAAACAAGAAGCAGTTTCTGTTTTGAGAGAGAAGGAAAGAGGCATGAGCAAATACAGCTGTTTACCTCAGAAGTATCTAAAATAACTTCTACCCAACTTACTTGTCGTTGTCCACTTTAACCAGAGGTTAACAATGGTGCTATTGTGCTTACAAGGGCCGGTTCAGTTTTTCTCTTTGTAGTTCCATGAAGGAGCTGAACCAGTGTGAGCACTGAAACCTTGTCGTTGCAGGTTGTACGGTGGGATGAACTATCGGCGGCTGGGAGGAGGAGTAGGTGTTATCAAAATGACACACTGTGAATCTCATATATGGTAAGCATCGAGAGGGAGGGAGACCCCTTGGTTCTCATTCCTAGAACAACTGAAGAGACTTGTTGACACTGGACCTCTTTGCAGCTCTAGCATGCACGGTCTAGAATCCAATATAACTCTTTGCTGGTGACTCTTTCTATGGAATTATAAAAATGACTTCTGTGGGAGCGTGCCCAATGGGAGACCACGTTGTCAGACTCCAGGGAACCACTGGACAAAAGTAGAAGTGTTGCTTATGTCCGTATTTTTTCTAAATAGTCTACATTTTTGAATAAACCAAACTGTCAAAAGTTATTGTAGCATAAACAATGCTGATGTAGAGACTACATGTTATAGGGGGAGTCTGGCAAGGAGGAGGGTTTCCTGCTTTCCCTCCTGCTGTGTGAGCGGTGGATGTGGCAGCTGTGTGGCGGGTGAAAGAGGAAAGTGATACAGAAAACATTGCTTTTGCCTTATTTACAGAGAGCTTAAAAAAAAAAAAAAGTACTTGACCTGCAAGGTGCCACCTTTGCACAGAAGCTTTTCTGTGCACAGAGTATATTTATTTTTTCATTTAATTTGTATCATGTATTTTCTTTGTATCGCTCAGAGCGATAATTCCAGCTTTTTATACACATATATATATGTGTGTGCATATATATATATATATGTATTTTATATATATATGTATATGTGTGTGTATGATTTGAGTTTTGACAAGCTGGTGGGTTAGGGCAGGGCTATGTCCTGCCAGCTATTGTGGTTCCAACCCTTGTGGTAATGTTTTAGGGTCTCTTAGAGTACAGGAGAGGATGGGTGTCCTGAGTATCTTTTCAGTCTTGCTAGAGGCAAGAAGTAGAACTGGAACTCTCATCTATCGACTGAATCAGTGAAGTGCCCAAAAAGGGTGAGAGTGAAAAGGATTTCAAATGATGCCTTTTTACTGTACAGCGTATGGTACAAAAGTTCAGCTTTTGTCTCTCCCCTCCCCTATATATAAACCTAGAAACAACTAGTTGTTGCTTACTTGTAAAACCCTTTTTCTCACGTTGCCTGCTAGGTATCAGTTCTTGTCTGAAGCGGGGACGCAGGTATCAGCTGTTAATTCTGACTAGCCTAGATCAACACTCACTTCTCAGGTTCTTGTTAGAATAGCAGACCCACAGTCAGTTTCTGCTGAAAAACGTGTAGACCAGCATCATTTTAGCTGCCCTCCTGCCTCTTGTCTGTGTCTTTAGAACTCCTGTTGTAAATCAGTGACCATGATGAGATGGTACTCTCCCTTTTAGTGATTTTTATGCACTTTGTCTGTGCTTGTTTAGAGCAGGGAAAGGTATGAGGCTCATTAATTAGAGTCTGGAGGGGGG